TCCTTGTGGTATGATTGAACATCCTTTGGGTAAATGTCCAAGAGTGTCATCACTGTGTCTTGAGGTAGATTGATTCAAAATTTTCTTAGAAACCACCATACTTATTTCCAAAATGGCTGTACCAGTTTGCACTTCCGTCAGCAGTGGATGAGTGTTCCCCCAACTCCACATCGTCTCCAACATTAGCTGTCCTCAGTGTTTTTGATCTTAGTCATCCAGAAAGGTGTAAGATGTATGTCAGAGTCATCTTGATTTGCATTTCCCTGATGATTAAGGATGTTGAGTACTTTCTTAAATGTCTTTTGGCCATTTGAAATTCTTCTGGTGAGAATTCTGTTTAGCTGTGCACCCCCACTTTTCAATTGGGTTGTTTTTTAATTTGATATCTAGTTTCTTGGGTTCTTTATAAATTTTGGAGATCAGCCCTCTGTCAGATGTGAAGTTGGTGAAGATCTTTTCCCATTGTGTAGGCTCTTGTTTTGTCTTGTTGGCAGAGTCCTTTGCCTTACAGAAGCTTTTCGGTTTCAGGAGGTCCCATTTATTGATTGATGCTTTCAGTGTCTGTGATACTGGTGTTATGTTCAGGAAGTGGTCTCCTGTGCCAATGTGTTCAAGGTTATTTCTAATTTCTCTTCTATCAGGTTCAATGTAGCTAGATTTATGTTGAAGTTTTTGATCCATTCGGATTTGAGTTTTGTGCATGGCAACAGATATGGATCTATTTGCAATCTTCTATATGTTAGCATCCAGTTATGTCAGTACCATTTGTTAAAGAGGCTTTCCTTTTTCCACTGTACCATTTTGACTCCTTTGTCAAAAATCAGGTGTTCATAGGTGTCTTGGATTGATATCAGGGTCTTCAATTTGATCCCATTGATCCATATATCTGATTTTATGCCAATACCAAACTGTTTTTTATTACTATAGCTCTATAATAGAGTTTAAAGTCAGTGAAGGTAATGCATCCGGAAGTTCCTTTATTTTTACAGGATTGTTTTCGCTATTATAAGTTTTTTTAAATGAACTTGAGTATTTCTCTTTCAAGGTCTGTGAAGAATTGTGCTGGTATTTTGATGGGAACTGCATTGAATCTGTAGATTGCTTTTGGTAGGATTGCCATTTTTATTGTGTTGATCCTACCTATCCAAGAGCATGGAAGATTATTCCATTTTTCTGATATTTTTTCCAATTTCTTTTCTTAGGGACTTAAAGTCCTTGTCATACAGGTCTGTCTCTTGTTTGGTTAGTGTTACCCAAGAAGTTTTATATTTGTGGCTATTGTGAAGGGTGACCTTTTCCTGATTTCTTTCTCAGTCCCTTTATCATTTGTATATAAGAAGGCTACTTATTTTTTTAGTTAATCTTGTGTCCTGTCACTTTCCTTAAGGTGTTTATCAGCTGTAGGAGCTCCTGGGTAGAGTTTTTGGGGGCCACTTATGTATACTATCATGTCATTTGCAAATAATGATACTTTGACTTCTTCCTTTACAATTTGTATCCTTGTGATATTTTGCTGTCTTATTGCTGTAGTAAGAAATCCGAGTACTATATTGAATAGATTAGGAGAGAGTGGACAGCCTTTGTCTTGTTCCTGATTTTAGTAGAATCACTTTGAGTTTTTCTCCATTTAGTTCGATGCTGGCTGTTGACTTGCTGTGTATTGCCTTTATTATGTTTAGGAATGTTCCTTGTATCCCTGATCTTCCAAGACCTTTATTGTGAAAGGGTGTTGGATTTTGTCAAAGGCTTTTTCAGCATCTAATGATATGATCATATGTTTTTTCCAGTTTTTTTTAATATGGTGAATTACATTGACAGATTTTTGTACTTTGAACCAACCCTGTATCTCTGGGATGAAGCCTAGTTTGTTATGATAGATTTTTTATGTGTTCTTGGATTCAGTTTGCCAGTATTTTATTGAGTACTTTTATATCAATGTTCATGAGGGAGATTGGTTTGTAGTTCTTTCTTTGTTGCATCTTTGTATGGTTTGAATATCAGTTACTGTGACCTCATAAAAGGAGTTTAGCAATGTTCTTTCTGTTTTTATTGTGTATATTGGAGTTAGTTCTTTGAATTCTAATAGAATTCTGCATTGAAGACATCTGGCTCGGGGATTTTTTTTTTTTTGGTTGGTAGACTTTTAATGACTGCTATTTCCTTAGGGGTTCTTTTTTTATCTGGTCTCCATTTAATTTTGGTATGTAGAACCTCTCTAGAAAACTGTTCATTTCTTTTAAATTTTCCAGTTTTGTTAATTATTATTTGATGACTTTCTGGATTTCCTCAGTGACTGTTATGTCTACCTTTTCATTTCTGATTTTGTTAATATAGATATTCTTTCTCTGCCTTTGGCTAGTTTGGATAAGCATTTGTCTATCTTGTTGATTTTCTCAAAGAACCAACTCTTTGTTTTATTGATTCTTTCTATTGTTCTCTTTGTTTCTATCTTATTGATTTCAGCCGTCAATTTGATTATTTCCTGTCATCTACTCCTCCTTGGTGAGTTTGCTGCTTTTTGTTCTAGAGCTTTCAGGTGTTTTGTTAATTTGATAGTGTGGGATTTAACTTTTTATGTAGGCATTCAGTGCTATGTACTTTCCTCTTAGCACTGTTTTCATAGTGTCCCATAAGTTTGGGTATGTTGTACATTCATTTTCATTGAATTCTAAGAAATCTTTAATTCCTTTCTTCATTTCTTCTTGACCCAGGAGTGATTCAGTTGGGTATTGTTCAGTTTGCATGATTTTGTAGGCTTTCTAGAATTTGTGGTGGTGTTAAATTCTAACTTTAAGCCAAGGTGATATGATAAGATACATGGGGTTATTCCAATTGTTTTTGTATCTGTTGAGATTTTCTTGTAATCAAGTATGTGGTAAATTTTATAGGTTTCATGGGGTGCTGAGAAGAAGGTGTATTCTTTTGTGTTTTGGTGGAATGTTCTATAGATGTCTACTAAGTCTATTTGAGTCATAACATCTGTTAGTTAAAATTTCTGTTAATTTTCTGTCTGGCAGACCTGTCCACTAGTGAGAGTGGGGTGTTAAAGTCTTCCACAATTTGAGGTGCAATTTAAGCTTTAGTAATGTTTCTTTTAAGAATGTGGGTGCAAAACAAAAGAATGTGGGTTCCCTTGTATTTGGGGCATATATGTTCAGGATTGAGACTTTTTTTGATGGAGTTTTCCTGTGATGCATATGAAATGTCCATCATCTCTTTTGATTGTCTTTAGTTTGAAGTCAATTTTGTCAGAAATTAAGATAGCTACACCAGCTTTTTTTTTAAAGTTAAATTTGATTGGAAAGTCTTTTCTCAACCCTTTACTCTGAGGAAATGTCTGTCTTTGAAGTTGAAGTAGGTTTCTTGTATGCAGCAGAAGATTGGATCCTGTTTTTGTAACAATTCTGTTAGCCTGTGTTTCCTCATAGCCAAGTTGAGTCCATCGATATTAAGTGATATCAGTGATCAGTGATTGTTGATTCCTGTTAATTTTTATGGTGGTGGTGTTTTGTTTCTTTATTTGATGATGTGGGATTATTTATTGCCTCTGCTTTCCAGGGTACCTCCAACCTCCTTGAGTTGGAGTTTTCTTTCTAGTGCTTTCTGTAGGGCTAGATTTGTGGACATGTATTATTTAAGTTTGGTTTTGTCATGGAATATCTTGTTTTCTTCACCTATGGTAATTGAAAGTTTTTCTGGGAATAGTAGTCTTGGTTGGTATCCAGGGTCTCTTAGAGTCTGCATAATGTCTGTCCAGGACCTTCTGGCTTTGAGAGACTCCATTGAGAAATCAAGTGTTATTTTGATGGGTCTGCCTTTATATGTTACTTGAACGTTTTTTCTTTGCAGCTCTTAATATTCTTTCTCTATTCTGTATATTTTGGCTTTGATTATTATTTGGCAAGAGCCTTTTTTTTCTGCCCAGTCTATTTATTGTTCTGTAAGCTTTTTGTATCTTCATAGGCATTTCCTTCTTTAGGTTGGCAAAATTTTGTTCTATGATTTTGTTGAATATATTTTTTGTGCCTTTTGAGCTGGTATTCTCCTCCTCATTCTATCCCTATTATTCTTAGCTTTGGACTCTTCATGGTGTCCCAGATTTCCTGGACATTTTGTCTTATAACTTTGTTGATTTCAAAGTTTTCTTTGACCAATGAATCTATTTCCTCTATCATATCTTCAACACCTGAGATTCTCTCTTCTATCTCTTACATTCTGTTGGTTATGCTTGCATCTGTAGTTCATGTTCATTTACCCAGGTTTTCCATTTCCAGAATTCCCTCTTATTTGTGTTTTCTTTATTACCTCCATTTAAGTTTTCAAGTCTTGGACTTGTTTGATTGTTTTTTATTGACCATTTTTAAGGGACTTACTGATTTTTATATTTTTGTCTTTTCCTCCATTTCTTTAAGGGAATTCTTCATTTCTTTTTTAAGGCCTTCATCATCTTGATCAAGTTATTTTTAAAGTCATTTTCTTCTGCTTCTTCTGTGTTGGGATGTTCGGTCTTCCTGATGGAGTACTACAAGGTTCTGGTGTTGCCATATTGCTCTTTAGGTTGTTGAATGTATTTTTGTATTGATGTCTACCCATCCCTTCTTCCCATTGGTGCAGGCTGTGTCTTTATTATTGATTCATTCTTCTCAGTCTCCTCTCTCTCAACCCTCTCCATGCAGTAGATGTCTGTGTCCCAGGGAGCTGCTGAGGTCCCAAGGGATGGGTGGGTGGCATTGGGGGCAGAGTGGGATTTATAGGTTATATGGTCCTGTGGGGGGCTGTTGGTATAGTCTGCCTGCAGGAGACTTCCCTGCTGACTTGCTAGTGTGACTGATGTGGGTGGGAAAAGGGCCCAGGGTTTTGCCCCAGGACCTAGGACCTAGAGACTGTGTGGTCTAGGTGGGCAGCTGGTCTTTATTTTTGTTAGTAGTAGAATTAAGTTTCACATGGGGATGACAAAATAATTGCTGATTTTATCTCTATCTGAAAAACAAAGAAACATCTTTCTTTAAATAGAAATTTATTTGTAAAACATTGTGTAATGTATAACAATGCACTTTAACCCAGACTTTATACTTGATTTTCTTCATACAGTAACATGTCATTTAAGGAAGAACAGGTGTTTGAGAAATCAGCAAAACAGTGGCTGTCCTTATAATTTCTCAAACATCCACATCCTTCATACATGTGCTTAACTTACCATAAACTTAAAGTAGATTTTAATGTAAAAAAAAGTAACTGGAATCAACCAATGCTAAAACAAGAGAAATACAACAAGGCATTTATGTTACTACACTCGCATAGGGAGAAACTTTCTATATGAAATGGAGTCCTGGATACTATTTGACCCCTCAGATGCAACACTGTGGTGTTGACAGGCACAGGAGGCATCCGCCCTGAGAATAGATTCTTAGCACTTTCCACCTATTTGACCAGTGAACTGAAGTAGCCTGTAAGTTCTCCTTACTATGTAAAGTGCATGCAACGAACAAACCAGAACCAGAGATATGTGAAGGTCCGGGAAGGAAAGAAAGACAATGGCTTCTTTCACCAATCAATATTCAGTGGTTTCTTGCTCTGTGATACATGTTATTAACAACGTTTTGATTGTAGCTACAGTGACTGTTAGGAAGAACCTTAGAGGGCAAACGGCATAGTTTAACATCACTGCTGGCAGTGGGGACTTCAAGGCAAGCCTTTTCCACACTTTAAGAAGGTCCTTTGGATTGAGAATAGCTCTCATATCTTTCAACCAATGAGAAGAAGAAATCTAGAGACTCAGGACACTGGGAGCTGATGGCCACTGAGTGGCCAATACCCTACTATACTGATTGCTCTTGCTTCTTGATTTTCATGCCTACAAGGCTTCTAATGTCATGTTTTATACTGGGACTTGATGGTATCTACCATTTAGGTTGGTTCACTGGGAGCTGATGTTTTCTTCTTTTTCTTTGTTTGTCTTATTGAAAGCTGATGTTAAGAACAAAAATTAAAGGAACTTCCTATGCCCTTCCAGGAAAACCAGGCTCAAATTTTCTTATGCACACTTACATGTAAATACCATCTAATGTTAACTCTTTTTTAAGATTAAATATACCTAGGCATTTCCCCTGTGTTCTGCAGTTTAAAACTGAGTCAGGATTTTATGGGCTGTTCAAAGTCCTGGGAATGTAATGATTCAACCAATTCAGATTTATTTAGCTAGAGTTTTAGTGCTGTCTCTTTTCTCCAAATACACTAACCCAAACATTTGATTTGGTCGTTCTACATCAAGTTTGCTCATCTTTATCTCACCCCAGGAATAGATTAGCCTTGTGATCACTTGTATCAAAATGATCATTCTGTAAGTGCTCAAATAGGCATGCCCCCTGGGTTTTAATAGCTGCATATTGTCTTACAAAATGTGATTTTGAAAATAACAGTGCTTTTCATAATGTTAGGACATTATTCTTGGGAAAAAAGCTAACCTTCAGAACTATGCTCATATCTTAACAGAAATTTTCTGATACCCATACAGTTTTTTACTGAAATACTCAAATCTTACCCCCATCTCAAGCTTGTTTTTCTCAATAGCACTAACCAAAACATAAACACTGCCGACTTACCTACCCGAAATATAAGAAACTATGGCTTGAAAGCAAAAAAAAATAATTGTGATAGAAACAGCAACAAATAAATTTTACAGACAGAAGCTAAAGGGAGAAAAAATATTTAAAACTTTATGAAATACTATCATGGAATGTTACAAAAATATTAATTATAGTCAGTGATCAATGACTGAGCTAATAGAGAAATATGAATGCTTAATGCAAAATATTTCATGTCACAAACAATTGCTTTGGTGCTTGAATGAGTACATCATTGCTTCACGAATTTCAATATACATACTAGCCATCTTAGATATTGTGAAAATGCACATTCTTGTTATTAGGCCTGCAAGTGTGGACATGAGTCTATACCTATAACATTACTATTAATGCTGATGACTTTTCTAAGGGTATAAAAAGGAAGTAATTCCCAATAGAATGAGATGTCAGGATATGATTACAAATATGTTCAGAAATCTGAAATAAAAATATACTAGTTACAGAAAATGGCAAGTTTATGAATATAATTTCTTTACCTTGTAAATATGAAAATAATACCCTAAAAACTTTTTAAAAATGTGAATCATGTTGGGGCAATAAATAATAATGTCAGTTCTTCAACCAAATAGCAAGCATACCCGAGGGGATTTAATTGAAATATGAACTTGGTCAATACAGTGCAAAATTTGGATTAACAATATATAACACTAAGACATACTCAATAAAATTCTGAATTATTTTAGTCTACTTTGGTCACCTTTCTACAGCTGTAGAATGTGCAACACACAAGGCGATTTTTAAAGGATATTTTGTTTAGCTTCTATTAATAGGAAAACACCGTGCTTTGTTCAGAGGTTGGAAATGAAGACATATTTGCAGACAATTTGATAAGACAAATAGGTAGACAACCATTTTTTTTCTGGCTTTGGACCATCGCACATCAATACGTGCATTAGAATTACCTATAAATGAACGGGAGCTGGGAGAAGGTAAGTGCACCAATGTAACAAAGCTATATATGCAGCCCGTATAGGCATTTCACACATTGTATGTATCTGTGACCCTGACATAGCCTTGTATGCTCCGCTCATGAAACATTCATGTCTAGTCACATCGAGACTTCTCTGCCTTGTCATGTTGTCCACCCAACTTGGATTGGATTCTAGAAGCATTATTGCCTATTTGGTCCTCTCTACTTCTCAGTGAGCTTTAGCTGAGGGTGAGGTTTCTATGTTGCTCCAAACACTTACTGAATTTCAAGTGGTTAATTTGCTACAATTGGAATGGATAGACTGTGTTCACGGACATGTGTGGTGTGCACCAGGTAGCATTGTAAATTATTATTTTTTAAATCTTTGACCTCAAATATTCTTCCTAAGGTCAAAGGTACTATTTCAAAATCTTTAAAACTTCATTGTGGATAATAAGTAATGTCAGGATTAAAAATAACTTACAAGTGATTCCCACATGTACTGCTGTTTTGCAAGTCTATTTTTCATTTATAAAGTCAGCACTGTACAGACAGTATCTGTATAAGTCTCATACCTATAAAATCCTTTATCCCATAGAAAATAAAATTACATGTGCTGAAAATCTAGAAATGGATTACAATCTATGTTAACCAAAAACTTTAATGATTTTTACTGTTGCTTCTTGTTTATTAACAATGAAAACTAATTCAATATTCAACAAAATAGCTTAACTTTTATATATGTTATTTAGCGAATTAAATCTGTCCATAAAGATTTTCTGGGGTTAACAATTGATACAAATGTAATATCTCTCTTTTTCTCTCTTATTTGCAAAGCAAACTGTTCAAAATGTTAGCTTGTGCACATTATAAACCCCATATGTTGATTTTTTGTGACAATAAAAAGCACAGTTCATTTAAAAACAAGTAAAAAACAAGTTACTACTTTTTTTATTGGTCAGAGTTTTGTCATTGGTATATGGAGGCTGTTCCATGGGCCCATCCAGAGCTCCTCCTCATCTGATGGTATATTGTCACCGTGGAATTCCATCGACTCTCTGGAGAGCCTACTGTCTACCATGGACTCCTGCTCGGCTGTGTTTCTCAGCCTGGTCCCTGATGGCTTCACTGCTGAGTGCTCGGCCACCACGGGGCATGGGGCAAAAGTGACCAGGGTTGGTGTTCTTTTCACTTTCTCTGTAGGAAAAGGCCCCTTGAACAGCGTGTTCAGGGGCACATTCTCCTCGTGTGTCACTGCCAACTTGTCTAACTTCTTCAAATGTTTCCCCCGTGGCACAGGGGAGGGGACCTTCAAGCTATCGCCGAGGCAGGCACGGCGTGTTCTCATCACAGAACCATTCTGTGCAATGTAAATGTTGCCGTTGACATTGCTGTGGCTACCCGGCTTGTAGGGACAGCTTCTTTGACACTCAGGGGCACTGTCTTCCCCAGTGGAGCTGCTTTCACACTCTCGATCCACCACTAACTTGATCATTCTTTTTCTCGTCCACTGAAAAAGAATCACAATACACGAGTCATTCTCAAAGGAAACCAAAGGTCGTCGAGATCACACAGCAGTTCCTGGAAAGGTGACAAAGAAAATTCTCAAGCAGGGATGAGGACCCTTTTCATATCTTACTTTCTTTTCTCCAATACTGTATTGGATTCAGAGTTTAAATGCCTTTGAATGAAGTGTTGCTGAGTTTGGAAGTAGACCTAATAGGAAACACTTTCTTTTTACATCAAGATACAGTGAGATGTGAAAAGAAAAGTGTATTTATTCATAGTCAGCAAAATTCCCACTCATTGTTTTACAACTGCTAAACTACCCAGGGAGTGAAGCAGATAGCCAGGAACAGAATTTATACATTGTACCCATTTTAATGCTTCTCTTTCCAGTACTTTAAAGATATTGCTGAATTCATGTAACTCTAATTTGTAATTCACTGTCTCATGTAGTGAAAATGTTGGTACATTTGACACAAATCATCAGTCGAAACATCTGATTGTCCTGGGTCCCCTCACTTGGACTCCACTTACTGAGAGGAACTACCTGTGCAACATGAATGCTTACTACTACATAAATCAGAACGTCTCCTTGTATAAGCAACTGGGAAACAATGGGCATTTTCACTGATTCAGTTGTTTTTTACCAAGAAATATCAGAAGTGATGAGGAGTGAAACATGAGCAATGATGCATGTTTCTCTAAACAGTATGGCACTTTGGGGGAACGTGAATGTTCTATCTGCACTGAAGAGGCAATGTTTTTCTGGACTCTGTATGAGTATTTTAAATTATGGTTGTGTCTGTTTGCCCAGAAGAGAGGCTGTAACTGGTACAATATATTTTTGAACACAGCATAAGTGGTAATCACTTTTAACTTTCAAAATACGGTTTCATTTAACTCCTAGAATTTGAAGGTGGGAGCTGATGTAGGGTATCTTTGATATGGCACCTTCTCAGTGAGCAGAAATTCAGAGACACAATTACTCTTATCATTTGCTGTTGCTTGTCTAGCATCTATTCTGCAAAGACTACATATTTGCCACATATATACGCATCTTCTGTTGCTATGGACAACTGTCACTGATAATGCCACTTTATAGTCAGTGCTGATGTTTCTCGGTTTGATGGTACAGGAGAGAGTAGTCAGTTTTGATTCAGTGTGTTTCCGCATGCACACCTATGTAGGTAGCATATGTCATTTTTTTTTTTTCTGACCTACTTCTGATCTTGAGTCAGAGTGAAATCATTCTAAAGCCGAGAGTCATTTTAGAGAACACACAGGGAGGCACTACACACGGGAGCACACATCACCGCAAACCCCACCTACTATGAACTCTTTCTAAAGGGCTGTGTTGTAGCCTTCGGAGTTTGCCCCTGGGGACTTGGTCGGGTCTGCATCCTTCCTTCTGCTGTAGTCCGGCACCTGGAAGCCCCATGGGCCTCCAGACAGACTTTCACTCGTGCTGCTGCTGCTGCTGCTCAGTTCGGACTCCTCCTCGCTTCCCAAGGCCCTCTCCATGGAGGCTGATTCTGCACTGCCCTCCTCAGGGATCTCTTGAGCCTCCAGGTCTGCAGACTCCTCCATGGGAGCTGCTTCGCTCTCCTCTTCTTCCGGACGTCCTTCCTCCGCTGGAAGCTCTTCCTCCACCTCTTCCTGTGGCTCCTCTCTCCTGCCTTTCACTTCCTGGACTCCCTCTACTGCAGGCCGCCTTCGAGCTAGCACGATGTTTTTCCTGGCTTTCTCCCCTTCTGACTCAGTGGACTCAGATTCTTCTGACTCTGGAGTAGAGCTTTCCTCCTCTTCCTCAGACGGGGTCTCCGACTCCGACTCCTCGGTGGTCTCGGACTCACTGAACTCGGACTCGGTTTCTGTGTATTCGGTGTAGTCGCTGGACTCCTCCTCCTCCTCTTCCTCGGATTCCACCGTGCTTTCGGTGGCTTCCTCCTGGTCCAGAGTGAGTTGGAGATAGTCTTTGTCTTCTTCTTCAAGGCGCCTTCTCCACTCCTCACCCTCAAGGTCTATGCCTCTTTTCTCGGCGAGACCTTTGACTTTCTTAAAAATCATTGGGAATATCCTGGCTCTCTTCCATGTCGGGTACGTGGGCTCGGCGGCTGGTGGCTTCTCAACAGTGACCACTACCTCTTCCTCACTGGGTTCTCTAATTTCAACTCTGGGTTTTTTAACTTTCTCTGGCTCTTCCTGGAAGTTTTGAGAGTGCAATTCAAAGGTTAGATGATAGCTCAAGGGTAGTCACGATGCCATCTTGTCCCTCATAAGTTAAGCAGGGATTCTCTTTTGGGGGGGGTTAATAGCCTCACACAAGCTATGCAAATTGTTTCCAAAAAACAAAGACAACATTCTTTTCTGATGATAAAGAGAAGCTGGCTGGCAGACAGGCAGTATGTGATTTTATTTTGCCTTTAAGGTATTAATACCCAAATCTAATGGTCTCTCTTTTCTATTATTAACAGTTTCATTTTAAAACTTTTATCAAGAAAGAAAAAAAATCATTGCCATTTCTCTCTCTAAATCGAGAGTTTTGGCTTGTTAACTTTCTGCTGTGTCTCAGAGTTTTTAAACTCATGAAACTACATTCGGTAATTTGAATTTTTTTTTTGAAAAATCTGTCTTGTTGAATTTTGAACCAATTAGAGCTGCAATAACAGTCACTTCATGGAAAGAAAGAGAGTTGTTTCCCAAATAAATATAGCAGGCAAGGTGTAAGAATTTGAAAGAAATGATTCATGTTAACTTATAAATGAGTCACATAATATTTTAAACATACTAGTGAAGATACTTTGTTCTGTGATAATTGACATATGAATACTGTAGTTCTCATGATTTTTAGTTAAGCAGATAGTATAACAAAAGTAATCAGGTATTGTATAATTTTTTAATAGATTTGGGTCTTAGTTCTGCCTTTAGAAAACATTTTATTGCAACTTCTTTCAATTGTTTAAACTTTTACACAGAAGGAAGTCAACTGAAAAAAGTTAAAGAATTTCCCTCCATAGAATAGAGAATGAAATGGCCAGCCCTGTGAGACTTCATTGAAAAACAAATACTAAATGATTAGAAATTCTCAAAACTGGAGTATTTGACAGCCTGTTAGTCAAACCTGATCGAAAGCTCATTATCACATGGCTCCTTTGCTCACAAAGTCCTAACATTTACCTCTTCCTCTTCATATTCCTCTTCGGCTTCACCCATCACTTCACCGTACTCCTCTTGTCCAGCAGGTGGGAGCAGGCGGCGACGACTTCCATACTGGGGCATTTCATACCTGCAACATAAACTTGTAACTTGAGACATTTCTCATGTGGGTGTAGACTACCACAATGATCTCTGCTTTCCTCTTGTTCTTCGTTATTTCATCAATAGATACTTTAGGATCTATTAAGTTCCTTCTAAAAATTATAACAAAACGAAACAAAACAGAACTACATGTAAGAACCACTACCTGATGCCAGAGCTTTTTTTTTTTTTAACCCAATAAGGTTTCCCTGGAATAACAAGGAAGAGACTTGTTATTTCACACATAAATTTGAGGAGAGACTAGAAGTAGGAAAAAGATATAATACTTCATAAAAATGAAGAACCAAGTATGTAATTCACCAAGGATGTAAATGCTGTGTTTTTACATGAAAATTTGTATGGAATATGGCCTGTGTGGCATTGTCATTGTTCCGTATTTTTTGTGGGCAGTTGGCTTAGGCATGAAGAATTAACTCTACATGTACATACTTTCCATTAGGTTCTGAAGTATATTCTTTGTTTTTATTTTTTCACTGCTCTGGCATAAAACTTGAGGTAGGCTGGTTAGTTAAAATGCTAAACCCAGCATATGGAATAAATGGTGAATTCAGGAATTGAGCAAACATGTTTGGCTTCTATGTCCCAACTTAATCACTATGAGCTTTCTTTGCAGGCTTCTACATACACAAGCAGCACAAGTGCAACAGCAAAATGGCGAGAACTCGACTAACGTAAAAATCAGATACACTATTCGTTTTCAGTTATAAAATCGAGGCAATGATGCTCTAAAAATTTACTAGCAATAAACATTTTAAAAATAACACAATGCAATTCTGAAGGAAAAACTGAAGATGTACCCATGCTCATAATTGTAATAATCTCGTCCATATTCCTGGCCAGGATCAATCCCAGACTCCATGGATAACTCCTATTGTTCAAAAAGAGAAATTTGCATTTTTAAATAAATTCCTTGCGTCTTACAGTTTTAAGTGAGATCCCCATACCTACAATTTTTGTCTCTCCAAGCAGTCCTGCCAGAATAAGTTTAATGACAAGTGCCGCTTGACACGTTGCTGTTCTACTTTCTACAGTTTCCATGGAATTCATTTGTCATTAGATAGTGTGTGAATGGGAGAGCTCAGTATCCTTGATGATAAAACTTGGAAACGTTTTCCAGGGGAGTAGTTTTACTTGCTTTTAGGTAGCTTGTAAGATTAAGGTAATCAATTGTAAATTACTCTGTCTCTTATTTTTGTAGCTTCTGCAAGCAGAAAAAGTGTTACACTAACTTTACTTGTTCTGTCTTCCTGCCAATGGTTCCCTGATACTAAGTTCTCCCTCATCAAACATTTTAACCGTTGTCCAATAGTAATTCATACATCAATAAGAACTTCAGTTTAATGCTGATCCTGGTGCTAAAGACGGTTGTTTTTTAGGTTTCACTGTGACTTCTTCTGACTCTTGATAATACCTACTTTTTTCAAACTCCACTCTTTTGCAGAGTTTAAATTAATTTCCACACGCTTCCATTTTAATTCCTTTAACAATGATAAATGGCAAAGCTAAAGAAGACTGAATTTGCAATGGAGTAAGAGAGGAGGACAGTGAAACTCTAATTATCCACAGGGAAGTAGGTTGGAATATGTAAGATAATCCACTATTGATAGGAATTGGTTTCACGTGGTAAATATGGACAATGACTCTTAGTTATGTCACAACTTGCCAAATCATTTAAAAGGATTAATTGTGGCTAACCCCAACCAAAGAATTCTACCAAAAATCTGGAATTTAGATTTCTTTAAAAAAAAAAACAAACCAAAGGCATGGCACTGTTGCATACTCCAAGAATCTTGTTGGTGTTTCCTGCCTTCCATGAGGTCTGGTTACTACTTTTCTACTCTACTACCCCATATCCATACTTAGCATCATCCTGCAGTCTGCCTTGCTCTCACTTCATGTATATTCCCAGTCAGGTACCTGTAGCTACTAAGCCCACAATTGCACTTCTACACTAATGACAAATGACTTTGTCACTTACAAAGATTTTGAAAACCAATTCAATTGTGATGTTAAAACTCATTTAACATTCCCATTAGAATAAACACTTTAAAAATAATTAGCAATATCATGGTACCATAGACAGTGGGCAACTGGTTCCCATAAAATTCTGGGGTGTGTGTGTGGGAATATAAACTTGCAAAACCTGCTGGAAAATGCATAGCACAATATATCTTCCCTAACAGCCCCAAATCAGCACCAATGTGAAGGTCCAAGAAATGAATCCTCTGTAGCACATTGGCACAGGATAGGCAAAGGAGGCTGAGGCCAAGTGTGGATGGAACACAAGTGAGATCCCACTTACAAGAGTTAGAAAAGAGGTAGTCTGCATGTTACAGGCCGGAGAGCACTTAGGGTGAGGGAAATCAGTGCTCAAAGTTGACTCATGTGTTAGCCACACACATGAGTGCACTCTTGAAATTTTCATCTAGGTGGTTTATATGTGCTTTGTGTCTGTAGGCTTTAGTATAACAAAATTCCCATTATAGGAAGGTAAGCACATCATAAGGTTAAGAAAGGAGCGGTAAGAAATTAGACCAAAGTTAAAGCCTAGTTTTAAGTTTCTTTGAAAAACACATGCGCTTCATACCAGTGAGTTAAGACTTCTACGTGACTAGTAGCATAATTATATTGGTTTACATAAAGATAATCCATGCATGCCTAATCTACTACATAGAAGGGACCAAGAAGAAACCTCCAAGTGGTTTTAATTGTAATTTAGTAATGATTAGTTATATATAACTGTAATTTTATTGCTAAGTTGAGAATAAGGCACCGGTTTTGCTAGTTGCTGTATGTTCCCAGCATCAACTACTTTTAACAGGGTCAGGGTTACAAGGGAACAAAACAGGAATTATGGAGTACAGTACTCTACAATATTCTACAGTTCTGAACTGGGTCAAGACAGACAGGAACTAACAAAAACATGAATGAAGAGCAGAATGGTGAGTGTTAAAGGAAAGAGACAAAGGAAACAAGTTCTAGAGACATAAAAGACCACAGAACTGAGCCGAGCAGGTGACAAGAGTTGGCCTCTTCATGGCATGACAATGGTCCTATCTGCATCCCTAGTTACTGCATGCCACAGACTCTATCTGCACCTCTAGTTAGTGTGCCAAAAATTAACTGTGTGACAGACCCAGCACTTAAAGTTAATTTTCATTGATGCCCACACAGAGAAAGCAAAGTTAACTTAGACTCTTCCTACTATACACTGCTTAAATTTCTGTAAACCAGAACCATTTCAGTCCCGTTTCCTCAGCTTCTCCCTACTTTGTCTGTCTTGTTGACCAGATGCTCATGAGCTGGATGTGACTGTCAACATTTTTGGGTGATAGCACTGTTGGGAGAATGCATATCTTGTTGAAAGCTGTGTGTTTATTTAGATTTTAACTATGAGGTTTTCTGGCTCAATTATCCCAGAGATTTTTTCATGAAACTTCCTAATTAAAAGCTTAACATTAAACTTATATACATCTGTCCCTTGCCTCTATATTTTTGGTGAAATTCTAAACAAGAAATTCCTTTCTTTAGTAGGGTACTGTTCCTAGAGAAAAGAGCCAAATTTTTATAAATGCCTATCAAAAGCCTAAGTTTATCATAAATTAGTATTACTTAATATTCATTTTAGTCTTAGAGGTAGATAATAAATGAGTATGCATTTATTACGTAACTCTGAAAATACATTTTTCTTTGTAGGAGAGATGTTGACTCATATATGTGTTGATGGGAGCAGGGCAGATGCTAGAACATTCCTTCAGTCTTTGCCCCATCTCTTTCTGACCTGACATTCAGAGAAACCCCAGCTCCTGTATCATTCATGGAGTGGCTTCATGCAGTAGTGTCTGAGTCTTGGGGAACAGTGCTTTGCTTGCCTAATTTCTAGAGCAGTGGTCCTTAATCTTCCTAATGCTGTGACCCTTTAATACAGTTTCTCATGTTGTGGTGAATCCCAACCACAAAATTATTTTTGTTGCTACTTCATAACTAATTTTTCTACTGTTATGAATTGTAATGTAAATATCTGTTTTCCAGTGGCCTTAGGAGACCTCTGTGAAAGGGTCATTCGGGGTCATGACCCACAGGTTGAAAACCACTGTTCTAGAGAAAGGCTACCAGAAAGAAATTGACAGATGATTTTTTTTGTTTACTTATTTCTTTCAGTTTGAAAACACATTCTCTCTCCGTGGTAAAAGGGGACCACATCAGAGGCCATCCACTCTGCCCACATGTAACAGAAATATGAAAGTATTGTAAAGGTTTAGTGAGATTGAAAAGGAAGTGAAAATCGATACCTCCGGCTTAAGAAGAGAAGGTCTCAGCAGTTGATGCTGCCAAAGGAAATCAAAACAGGAAAGATTTAGGTAATAATTCAGACGGGAAATGTAGAATACCATTGCGAAGAGAGGGATAAAGGCAACAGCTTGAGCCTGTCACTTAAAATATGATTCACTATTCACATGACAGCTATCAGACTATTAAGAAACATTTTAGATAATTACTTGGGTACGCAAGGTGTATAAGAAGTCATTTGTTTTAATTTTGGTTTTATCAATTACATTTAAAATAACCTTAATAGCCAGTATCGATAAAGATAGTTTTATTTAAGCTTTATAGTATGAAAGGTTACTTGGGTTTCTAAGAACACATAATATGGGGACAATTTGACAAGCTCAACCTTGATTCAAGTTGTTTATCATTTTCTTTCCCATAACATTGTAATCGCTTCCACTAGGAAGAATAGAAAACTGGAGTGACAAGATGCAGTATCTTTGGGATTGTATTTAAGACATGGTCCTCATTCCCCCATTTCTTTTTAAATGAAATATGGATGGCTCACATTCAAGCATGTTTTCAAAGTCTTCTGTGAGTTAGGAAATTGTCCTTTCTCTAATGTGTAGAGCCTCCCACCTGCCTCCTTCCCCTTTTAGTCACTCAGTGAGCTGGGACAAAGTCCTTATCTCTAGCTTT